TAGAGAGAGAGAGAGAGAGAGAGAGAGAGAGAGAGAGAGAGAGAGAGAGAGAGAGAGAGAGAGAATGTGTATATTTTAAGATGCGTGTGATAAAAAGAAAAAGAAATAGAAGAAATATTTTTATTATAGGAAAGACGGGGAGACGAGGGGGGGGGTGAAAAAAGCTAGGTATGAAATTTAGAAATATGTAGAAGACGGAGGTAAACAGGATACATCAAGATTCATTTCGATCGAGGCTTTTAACGTAGCAGCACAAGTAAGGAAATAAGCACGAATTTACACAATTACATTTCAAGCAGTTAAATCTTCCTGAGGTTACTTTGGTCGTGCTATGCTGGATCATCGTTTCGCGAAAATGGAGGAAATGCGACTCGGTAGAAACCTCCTCTCACTTCTTATTAAAGAATAATTCGCTTTTAATTAATTTGTAAAGTTAATTTGTAACATAATCCAAATTGCATTAGTAATGCTGAATCAAGCATAAAGTATGCGGCGTTATACATATTCATTGTCTTCAATTCTCATCGCAAGCTTATACGAATCATCAGATTCCCCTGTACTCTGCGATCTATATTACAGAGCTGTCAAAATTTTGTAATTGCCTTTTAAAAAGATTTATTTTTTCTCACGTATCTCCAGGCATCGCACATCTCTCAATCAGTCGTCAAATGTCAAGCTAAAATAAATAATGTTTGTTTTAATACCATTGTTCTATTAAATTATAAACGAATAAACAATTCGTAAATTAAAAATTATTTCAAACGAGACTTTTGCATGCACGATGTCTGAGAAGAGTGCTTGTGTAACGATAAACAAGATCATAATATATAAACGTGTATAACTTTCGTTATAATCTCTGCGAGGCCGATAACTCGATACTATACAATATTCTCATTCGTTAAAAATAACATAAACTATAATTAACGCTGATTACATCGTCTATCCATTCAACAAACATTTTACAATATTTCATTTCAATAAAAACAGTATCAATTTAATAAAAGATCTTACGGATAGATTATTTCTCTCATTTGTAACAATCAATACAACAACGTGATTCTCTTTCCATAATTTTTGCTATTTTTTGTTTCACACATTACCCGTAATCTTTTGCATTTTGAATATCGAAAGACAGTAAAACTAGCATCTGATCATACACGACTCGTGATTCATGATTCGCAATCCGTGACTCGTAATAGATTCGCAGAAATCTGTCAGTATGACTCTTTCTCATTATTCACAATTTGTATTTCATTGTTTGCATGGAGTTTGTAACGCTGTACATGCATCAACACGAATTAATCGATTCGTGGTGATTTATATTTTTTTGACTTTCGTCAAAAAACCGTCAGCCCGGCTGGCAAATCGACACGAATGATAAACAACGAATACAAATTTGATAAACATTTACATTATTTTCGAATCTCGAAAGTATGAATAGCGAAAATATCGAGCCACGAACCACGCATAATCTAGCACTGGTTTAATGTTAACGCTCCGCAATATGTCAGATACAATGAAAGGAAATAAACGGTCTTTCTTTTCCAAAGACCATGATTAAAATTCTGTGCTCTTCACAATCCCTTTTGCAAACCTTTCGCATTTATGGTTAAAATGACAATGACAAATTGACGTTACGATCTTGGTTAACATTTAACTTGGTTGAAACCTTACGTTAAACGACCGACGATCATATATATATACGTTTATATTGCACGATTATGAGTCGATAGCACGATCTTACACTCTATGACGAATATCTACGCGCTTTTGGCACCTCTTGCGTTTGCATATACGCGGACGCGAGATTTATTTCGCAAGTAAAAGAGAGAGAGAGAGAGCAAACGGGAAGAGAATTTCATTTAATACGATAAACTTTTGGATATAATGATTCAACTCTTGGTCACATTAATCATATTTTAAATATATAAAGATTCTTGTTAAATTTCTTCCGTCGAGATGCACTCTTTTCTCATCGTGTAAAAAAAAACTTCTGTAGTTACAAAGTGCGCTAGTCATTAGCGTGTAATGTGTAAAAGGATTCATTCCGTTCTCGTTGCACTTCGCATTTACCGAAGTTTCTTCAACACCGTTCCATATATTTATTTATCTTTGCAGACAGAGAGGATCTATATTCATAAGATATGAATGTGATATTAACGATAGCGATCTCACTGCGATTTATGTCTGTCCAAATTTCAATCTATTTAATATAATGTGAAAGGTGTACGTGTGCTGAAATATGCACCGTCGGGGATTCAGATTACGTTGTACCATAGATTTCGTCGCGTTCTTCGGTACATCGTAGTCTGACTCTGTAACACTAATCGCCTACGTTGTGTCTTTAATTAGAACGAAGAATTTGAATGTTATCGAGAAAGATATGGTATGCTACTTACAACGTGTCTAGATATAAAGGTCGTCATCTTGATTTCACAATTATTAACAATTATCTTAATTTCACATTCGACTAATTATCGAATGCATATAAAGTATAGCGTATTACTTTCAAAAAATTGACAACTGCCGAGGGTACACGCATATGATATTTTCTTCTTGCTCGTTATTATTACTGCGTTTATTCAGCGATGAGAAAAGCAATTAATAATTAACGACGATTGGAAATTATAATCAAATGTTCTTTAAATGAAATAATAAAGCTAGAAACGATTATTAGAAGCAGGATTGCATATTTGAAGCATAGAAAAACTTGTTTCCGAAAAAACTCTTTTATGCAGTGTCTTTAGAGTGCTTTCGGATTTCTTAGCTTAATCGTACAATATCACAGATCTGATCGTAATTTTTGATGAAGACAAATCGAACCTGAATTTTGTTCAATAGTACAATCCTGTATTGTCTAAACTAATTCATAGTATTCTCGCGAATGCGATATCGAGAATGAGAGGAAAAACTAATGAATTATTTATATAGACTAGGTATATTAACGTAAATGTTTATGATTGTAAGTTGTCCGCATCAAGGATGTAATGAGGAAAAGGAAACACAAGAAAGAATCTAGATCGCTGTTGGCGTGTACCGCCGATAGGCATCTCCCTCCTCTCTCACTTCTATATCTTTATGCGTTTTTTTTTTCTTAATCACTCCTCGTTGAGGAATATAATCGATCGTCTTTTCTAAGTTTAAATTGGCCTAAACGGTAGATTACTTCACTATAATTGCATTTATGATAAAAGCATGTATAAATCAGTAAACCTTTTCTTTTGTGCTTCTTAGAGATCATACATGATACAATGTACAAAGTAGTGTAAAATAAAAAAAGGGTTAATAAAGATTTATATATATTACTTAATCGTCAAGTAGCGGTTTATCACGAGTGGGAAACAACTTTCATTGACCACTGACCTGTTTCCAGAAAAGATTTCAAAAGAATACTAGACGCAAATATGCTATCTATAAAAACAATACAGATCTGACACATTATATATGGGTTACGAGATAAAAAAAAATGCACAACATTGAAGGAGATAAAAATATTGGCGTAACTCTACCTAAATTCATTACGCTGTAAATAATAAAATTTACAAATATTTATACATATTGACGCGCGTTTCCCTGCAAATCTGCCAGTGCCCAAGAAGTGATACCCCAAATATGTCAAAGTGTCTTAAGAATTAATCACGACACGAGGACAGAATTTATTTTATCCTACACAATAGTCGACATGAGTGTTGGTAAATGAGTAAAATCTCTTCTCTTAAAGTCGATCTAATCTAAAGTGGGCTTCGGCGCTGGAATCCGATATAACCATCGTAGGGTCAGCGAGCATTTGCAAACCATCCACGTCGATTGGATCAAGGCCCTGTCTGAGGGCATCGTCCGATGGAAACATTTCCGGGTCAAAATCACCCATCATTGCCGTCCCGAGATCTTTGACAAATTCTGGATCCTCCGTACCAGAAAAATCTACGATACAGTACTTTGTATTAAAATTTTTCCATTGTTTTAAGAAAATTTCGAGAGCACTTAAGTTATATGATATTGTTCTTCTTTATTGCAGAATTAGACTTATTCTTTAAAGCACTGATAAAAATTTAATCGAATTATATTGGACAATCTCACAGATAAAAATTAGTTGTAAAAGATCATCAGAAACAGAGATGAAATAATTTATCTTGTAACAAGACATAATTACAAAATTCCGAAATACGATTTGTACGATATTACCTGTGAGAATGATGGTAGGTGTGTTTGGAGTTTGCGGTGTGAGCTGTTGAGTAGCGGTCGTCGTTGTCGCAGGTTGATACCCCATTTGCGGACTCGTGCTAAAGTATCCGGTATCTCCACTGCCTAAATCGCCACCGACATTAATCACGTCGCTCTGAAGCATAAATAAGCGGAGAATTAAATAGAGATAAAAGATACGCGATACAAATCTCATGACAAAATCGGAATAAAGAACAAAGTACTTTATTCCGATTTTGCTTTTTGTTCGTGAGGATATTTTTCCAAAAATTTGTAAAACACCGATTTTCTTACCTGCGTGTAATTCGTAGAATGATTTGGCGACCCGATAAACGACCCAATCGTGCTCGCCTGCACCGGCGTGTCCATCTGAAGTAGAGAAAAAAAGAAAGGGAGTCGTAGACATGTACCTCGGCATCGTTAAGCAGCCTCGAAAGGATCGCAGAAAAACGCGTGCCTAATCCGATTTATCTTTAAGCGAACCCAACGTCGATTCGTCTCGCCTCTCTTTGTAACGCGCGTCTCGAGACCCAAATGCTTTTTATAGAATGATGATCCGCGAGGGACGACGCGGGAGAGAAAATAGCGGAAGAAGAGCATAAAGGGAGAAATAAATACGATCGAACTCGCAAGCTCGTACCCGTTCTCGTACCCGAAGATCGCCCGTTACTCTCCTCGATCTCGGAGTCTATCACGACGTTGGTTAACGCTCGATTTCCGCACGCTCTCCGTTTCGCTTTGTAGCCTTTGTTAAATGAAATTCATTTTCGCTCACTCGGCATCCACGATGAGAACGAGGCCTATCGCCTCGTCCTGCTGCACGTCCGTTATTTCGCGTACAGGTCTCCAGCTGATTTTTTTCCCGCTTATTTAACTTATCTGAAAAATTCACGACTGAGTAGAGAAAAATCGGCTATTATCATTTTTTTCTCCTTTCCTCCTGAGTGACGATATCGGGCAGCGATATCGAATCCAATAATCCGCGCGAACTGAGACTGTTTGGCTCGGACGACGCTTTCTACCTCGTAAAATATCCCGGCTTTTCCAATCCGCCGTTTAAAACCAACCGACGGCTCGTCGCGTCCATGCAATATCAAATGGCTACTTGTGCGTGTAACAAACGAGGGAATAAAAAGGAGGTATATCGTTAGGGCCCTCCGCGATAAAGCTAATCTCAGCGACGCGGCACGCACGACGTTGACTTCGGCGATGTGTGCGATGCATATGTAACAACCCGAGTTTCGAGTTCACGGGGAGGATATTCAATTGAGGGATATTATACGAATATGATTGTGATTAACCTCTTCTCCGTATCCTCGATACTCCGCTAAGAGAGCCGCTTACGTGGTTTTTTTCCCCCCGTTTACGGTTCTTAACGGCACATTTAGAATTTCTCCTCGATTGCGGTAATGTTTTAAACATCAGTGTACACGACGCCGGTGGGTATTTCACCGCGGGTAATATTTTACCTTAATCTACAAATATTTCACCCCCTCTGGGATCTGATATTTTTTTCTCAGCCGCACGTGCAGCGAAGGAGTTCCACACACGGGAATACATTTGGCACAGCGTATGCAAGCCTCCGCCGTTTGAAAGTACCGTGAAAGATATGGCATTCGTATAAATTCACAGAGTCCTCTCTCTCTCTCTCTCTCTCTTCTTTTCTTCTTTTAACGCTAACGACAAACAGCTTGTTTGCGCGAGACACGATTATTAATCATCCATCTCTTTCTTAATAGACTCGTTAACGTTTGACTCTTATCGCTCGATCTTCGACAACACATTTAATAATACATAGAATTATCAATCTTGTAATTTTATTTTACTATCTAAAGTATTTTTTGCAAGCCTTGTGAAAAGCGTATTCCGCGACGTATAACGCTGGGCAGTACTCTTAGTATTGAATTTGCAAATAAAAATGTTTCAACTAATGGCGATATTTCACCTCTATCTGCGTGGTCCAACCGAGTTCCATCAGCTGCTGCGCAAATTTGGGCCACTCCTGACGAATGCAGGCAACAGATAAACAATAAGACTTAAGACTATAAGTCTAGAAGGCAATAATAATCAGATAATAATTACGTAGCCGTCATTTATAAGGCTAGTTTCTATAAAGATATTCTATTTGCGTTTAATTGAATGCTTTCGACGCGGTCGCAAATAATCACGATTATAATTTCATATCAGATGCATACCGTTAAATAAAAAAATATCATAGAATCATAATTCGAAGCCTTTGGAGAACGGAACGTTTGACGGTGTAACTGAGTAGAATATCAAGTGACTCCGACAGAATAATTCATACGAATCATTCGCTTGGAATAATTCAACGGGTAGCATTAATTATAGCTTTGAAGGTCAAATCGCCTAAAGAGAAATGCATATATTATATGTACTGAAATTTGCGAAATCAATCAGCTTGCATGGTGAAAAACGAGTATGCACGATATGCATGTATGCGCGAGACATGCTACAGATTAATAATTAAAATGTTCAAATTTACAAAGTCCAAATTTAAAAGCATAAAGCTAATTAAGTTAAAACATAAGCGTTTTGTAATTTGCATCTTATCAAAATTTTAATTAACATTCCCGTTTGCCTTTACTACGCCTTTGACTCCTACTATTCGTTAGATACGAGCAGTTTAGCATCGGATACTTACCAGTCCCTTCGACATGCATAAAAAAAGATTGAGCGCCAATTAGGATCGGGTATCCCTTAATTAGTTATAATTGATGAATTGATCATAGTTTATGTAATCACGACAGATTTGAATTCTGATCAGTAACAGAGAATTATATTTTTAGCAATTATTGCGAGCAAGCTCGACGCGATGAAAAAAGAAATTAATTACGGCGATAACTCGCTTGAAAATATCAATCGCCCTTATCAGGAATAACGAAATGAAACGCGCGGATATTTCTGACGTTACGTTTGTGCGCGTGTACATTACAAGTAAGTCATAACATGCGAAATACACGCAGCACACACATACTACATACATACTTGATTTCCCTTTCCTTCTCTCCACGGAAGCCCGAATGCAATTATACGTCGAAGCACCGTGTAAAACGAGTAGCACGTGCGTTTTACGTTCCAATCGCGAGCGTTACACGATCCGGAAAGACGGATTGACAGGGTCTAACGACAGCGCAGATTCGCAGAAAATTTCGGAACGATCGTTTATGAAGACGGGCTATGCCAGAAGAGAAATGGAAATTATATATCGAGTCTTTCCTTGTCTAAGATAGCGCTTTGACGAGAAAATTAAGAGCGTATGATACTGGACACCGCCGACGTGTCAATCGAATATTTCCGATAATAAGCAAACTTTTTCTCTCCTTCACCTGAATGGAACCGTCGAGCGAGCCGATATTTTAATTTAACGAAACTTTTGAACTTGTGTCGGATCAACTATTCTAAAAACGTAAACAGATTCGAGATTCTCTCTTTTTCGGAGACACTTTTTTCACGACACTCCCCGGGGAATTCACACGCATTGATTCACTTTTCAGTCATGCTTAAAGATTTATAACTTACGTACCATAGTGAACTGTTCGAAATCCTGCTGAAGAGCCGCTGCTTGCGCCTGATTGATGAAATAATTCTGATCAATAGCGTCGGACGTCAAGTTGGGTGGACCCGGATGTCCTGTAGGACTAGGCGGCGCCGATGGGTTATTGCTATAACTTAAGGGACTTCCCTGAAAAAGGAAGTGTGCGCTACTTTTAGATTTATTAGTCATACGGTAATTAATCACACGAGAATGGAACTTTCTCACATATTGGAATATTAATCTCTTATAATCATTATTTTTACAACGACTGCATAATGTTGCAGGTCAAACTATTTTCAAGGATGTATCTTTATTAAAAGACACTCTCTCTACCTATCGCTGTGATCTATGATAGAATTACGTTGTCTCACCTGAACTGTTAGACTAGGTGACGATTGCGGCGACGGCCTGTTCACCGACTGCGTGGATCTATACGATCCCAACGAATTGAGCTGTTGCTGCGACTGTTGATGCTGCTGATGCTGCTGTTGCTGTTGCTGTTGTGACGTTTTCTGAATGTCGAGCGTCGATAGAAAATAGTAAAAATTGTTATTAGCAACAATTATAAAATATTGATCGTCATATAGATTAATATTTTCTATTTCTCTTTCGGATCGTAATCGCTATTATTTTTAGAAAGTGTATTTCGCCCATTTAATATAGCTGCTACGTTATGATTGGAAGATGTCAGATGCGTCTAAATACGCGCGCATAAATAGGCGCACGTATATCTAAATGTGACTTATAGATACATATCCGTAATTTTAGTAATACACCGAGTGCTCATTCGCGGACGTGCGTTACGATAATAATTTTCGAAACGCCCCGATTTTGTCGGCCGGTATACTAACTGGACTTTGCGGCGGCACAGGACTGTGCGGTTGTTGATAAATGTAGTGGCCAGCAGTCGGGCTGTGAGACGTCGCCGTCGGCGCCGGTTGTTGCGGATAACTCTGAAGATCCTGTTGCGAAGTACTTGTGCTGTTTTCCAACGCCACACCCTGCTTCATACCCATCGCTATTAACGATCGATCGTCGCTCTGTCGCCTCTTTCATTTTGCTCTCTCTCTTTCTGTCTCTCTCTCTCTCTCTCTCTCTCTCTCTCTCTCTCTCTCTCTCTCTCTCTCTCTCCTCTTCTCTCCTCCTCTCTCTTCCCCCTCCTTTCTCACACATTCAATTCATGCACACATACGCACCGTATATACATACAATACTACATGTACACAATCTGCTCTGCTCCCCCCCCCCTCCCCCTCCTCCTCTCTCCCTTTTCGCGCTTTCGTGTGACTAAACTCACAACTGAGTAGACGCTACATAGTCGCAGCAGGCTCGCGTAATCGATCTCTACATCATTGATTACAGCGTCGGACTTGCGGAAGTGGTTCGCCGCAACAACCGAGTTGCTCCACCGAATTTGTAGCGAACGCGTCGGAGCTCGACTTCGAGGGCACGTCGCGCGCCACATATTTACGAATTACGCTTTTGGCAGTCGAAGTAGGTAATATCTTGGCACGTAGGCTGTTTTCGTACAACATCGGAAAACTCCCCGTACATCGAGAGAGAGAGAGAGAGAGAGAGAGAGAGAGAGAGAGTAATTAAATTTACAAAGAAAGAAAAAAAAGAAGACT